GAGAAGATAACAAAGAATTTAGTTCCAGTTATCTGAATTCAACACCACACGCTCTCACAATGTCCTTCAGACATTTGCTGATGTTTGTGCATTGACCACCAGCCCAAACCTCAAAGCTGCGTAACTAAAAGGTGACTCCAACCTTTAGGAGAACCAAGTCAACCCGTGGATCAGAGGCTCAGGGATTAGCTCCAGCAGAGAAATGTTTTTGCTCAAGTTCCTCAGTTAGCTTGGGCAACTGCCAGACATGGCAGCGTGGGTTCGTTACATGCCAGGGAACCAAAGGATGGCACGGTGCAAGTCACGTACGCTCTCAATAAGCCATCGTCAGCAGGTGAGTTACTTGTTGATGAAATACAGGAGAAGAACTGCATTTAGTAAAGAAATGTTAATTTTTGTTCACAGACTCGCCACTTGTTACTATATACACGCACCAAAGGAAAGGGCGTCAAATAGGTTATACAGTGTAAAATTGCTTTCTAACCTCAACCTCATACGATGTCAAACCTATTTGTTTTCTGGCACGTGTCTTCCTACAAACACTTCTCGCATATATGAATAAGTAACTAAGGATTCGGGAAAGCAGTGGTTCCTTATTATAGTACTTCTTCCTTCTCTGTTACAGGAATGACCTGCCAAGCTCGAAGTTCATACATTACAAGTGAGATCCTGTGGGGTTACCGTTTTACTCCTGTCCTCACTCTGGAGGATGGATTTTATGAGGTTGACTACAACAGTTTTCATGAAACGTATGAGACCAACACACCAGTTTACAGTGCCAAAGAGCTGGCAGAGATGGCCAGCCGAGCAGAACTGCCCCTGACGTGGTCTGTTTCCAGCAAGCTGGACCAGCATGCTGAGTTGGAAACTGAAGAGGAAGAAAAGAATCAAGAAGACCAAAATGAAAGAAACGGTGATGTGGCCAACTTGGAGAATGAGTCTAAAGTGTAGAACCACTGGAGGCGTAAGGGCCACACCACCTCCTTTATCTTCTCCCTCTTTGCTCCCCTTTTCTTTCTCTGACACGCCTTCTTTTTTTTTTTTTTTTCCTTCCTTGTTATTCTTAATTCTGGGAAAATAAATACTTAAGATGCGAAATATCTACCTGCCCAATTTAAACTCAAGAGGTTCACAGACTGAGCAAAGGCATGGGTTAAAGCTGCAATACCCATTATCGATGGTGGAATCTCAATCCCGACCCTGGTAATGACTGCTGCCTTCCTCAGCACCTCTCTGAGTTCAGACCTCCAGGTTTATTCACATCAACAAAAACAAAAAAACCCACAAAAGCAAAAGCAAAGGGAATATATACAAGGGATTTAAAAGGAAAGACTAACTGATGGTCATCAAAGTACTGGGCCTTGGCTCCAGTTTTTACGTATGTCAGAACAGTTTCACACCCTGGGCAGTACACCTCTATGAAATGGGCCTTGCAGCTTTAAGATGAAGGTGAGCAGAGGGATCTGCAATCCAACACGATACTGTACATATGCCTTATGTAATTACTTTCTCTTTACATTTAGTAATAAACACCGCATGTACAAAAGTACTGTAGTAAAGAACTTCTAAATAATGTACATAGATGTGTAATTAATGTAGGTTTAGAAACAGAGTTCTAGAAATATTGGGATGCAAAAACTAACTACCCATTGAGTAGGCATTTCTCTTCTAATATTTGGATTTTAATACTGATTTTTTTTTCCCCTATATCTATGGCTCTTCTAGTGCATGACATTTTCTTCAGTGTACCAGACTGGCAGCTATTTAGAGTACCTCACTGTTTGCCAAACAGATCGTTTTACCGACTCTAAAAAGCCATAAGTCTGGGAGAAGGCAGGGTAGAGAAATTGTAACATACTTACTGATATACTGTGAAAATGTTTACAAATAATGCAGTCCGTTCCTGCTTATCTTTTTTTGGCAGTTCAACCTGAAATTTAGGCCGTGGCAAACTCACGGCAAACCAGAATTTCCTGTAGACTCTTAATATAGCATGTTTCATATGGAGGCATTATCCTTTATGTGCAATATCTAGGCAAACTTCTCCCCTCTCCCCACCCAATCCAGCGGAGTAGTTTGCTGCTACAAACAGCAGAAGCCATTGAAAACCAAATGTTGCACCTTAGCGAGTAGATTTTAACTGTTCAGCTGGAAAAGAAACAGCTGAATCTCATCTCAAGCCGTTATCAATGAAATTCATTTGTTGACAGTGCTGGTGCTTGGCCGGTCCTGCGGATTCACGGATGGTGCGACACCCCTGGGTTAATGCTTCGACAGGGTTTCTCTGCTAAATACACGGTTCCTGCCACCCGCGTTCAGGAGAGTGGTTCTCTAACAACTTTATCTTAGGTTAGCTCCCTGGCTGTTGTAAATCAGTGTAAATCCTGTACATTCCAACTTGAAAACGTTAAAATTAACGGGGCAGTGATCATTTGCATAGCTTACATGGCAACACTCAGGCTAGTGGGGGACCTGACGTGTACGGTCACAGTTTCACAGACATGCTCCGTAAGGGGCTGCTCAGACCGTGCAGCATTGCCCAGTGCTAAGGGCCTCTCAGTCTGGCCCAGCGTGCATAAAATACTACCTGTTGAAAAAAGATTGCATTGCTTTCGGTGGGCTTTGGCTCAGGCCCATCAAGAACGGCATTTCTGTCAGCGAAGGAGAAGAAGCTGCAGCCTTAATTTTGTTTTTTTGTACCTGCCTGCTCCGGAAATGAAGAATACACTGAAGAGAATCTGAAGCATTTTTGTACAGAAACATTTACATTAAAATAGAAGAGAAAAAAAAAAAATAACCTCAGGAGAAACTTAGTGGGCAGGTGGAAATTTTGCACTGTGATATAGCTTTCACATGAATTTCACACCTATTTTCAATTCTTTTTCTGAAACAACTGCCCCTTGCTAATTTTCACAGTGTGTGGCTAATCAGTGGGGTTTCTGCAGGTCCTCTAGCTGTGCTTCGTGCTGAGATGGGCAGAGTAGGGTGTGGGGAAAGGGTTGCACACCAGGGACTGGCAGGTCAGGCTGGATGGAAAGAGGTTTGTGTTTCAGCTCCGAACGTTTTCCCTAGAAGGCTTTCACAAAGCAGCATGATGTGAGGAACGGTGCAGAATATGGATTTTTGTTCCCTCCACCCGGGATGGCTGATTCTGCCAACTCGGTAAAGGTTACTTACACCTACCTTTTGTGAAATAGCAGTCGTTTTGCTACAGACCTTTCAAAACTCGTTCTTCTGCCCCAGCATTGGCAGCTGCCGAGTGCTCCAGTTCATCCATCACAGCCCACCCATAAGGATGGGTACCCATGAGAGGTACTGAGCATTTTGAAGGAAGGGTGGCTCCACAGCTCCGCTGGAAGACAGAAGCCTTGTAGCAGAGGAGCCGGGGGGAGCATGGCATTGGTAGCGATGAGCCGTCCACGTGTGTCAGTCCTAGCGAAAGGTGCACGAGCTGAAAGCAAACCATTCCTCTGAGGATAAACCTGCTTTTTGCTCTCGTAATTTACTGGGCCACTCTATAATTCATCGCTGCAGTTTAACAAAATTTGCTTTAATTAGAACAGCAGCTCAGGGCCCTAATTTAAACTTTTTTGTGTCCTTTAGCACAAAAAAATAGACTTTCTGCCACTGGGGCATGCGCATGTGTAAGCTATATTTTTGTGAATAGGGCACTTAAAGCTTAAGGTGTGTGTATTCGTCTCTTTCTCTCTCTCTCCCCCCGTATTCGATCGTCTTTGGTATTAATGTAGTATGGACTGTAAAGTTTATGAAATCTCTTTTGTAACATAAGCTTAAAAAAAGAAACCAGAAGCCTCCAAAGCTTTCAATGGGGAAGCTTCACGTAAACTTTGTACTAGAATGTCCCTATCAAACACCTCTATTTTTCTACAATGATTGATTAAGCAGTTTAACAATGTATTTTGTGTCAATGATTTCAACTGAACTGGTAAAAAGACAATTAAGAGTTGAATGCTGTTAATTAACAATGGATTTTCAAGCCGCATATACTGAGTGGTGTTTTCATTAACAGTAAATAACTTAGCCTGGACAGTTCATCTCCTAATCCTAAACAATATACTATGAAGTCTAAGTGCCCTATGGGAATGTTTTTGGTAAATCACATTTAAGGAACCTGAATAATGCAACATTTTAATATAATTGACTAGATAATTAATCAAGACCCATTACATCTCTGTATACTTCACTAATACATTTTGATGCCTTTTTCTCAGAATATCTTGTGATTTCCAGGAGCAAAAGGATTTACAGAGATAAATGTGAGCTCTCAGTAATCTACTGCAGCTCTCAATTCCCTCTTCCAATGAAGAGAGATGCTGCAGAGGTGCTTTGCACAGACTTCATGCACAGTGTTGCACAGTCATCTCTGGCTCCTTTTCCCTTTTTTTTTTTTTTTTTTTTAATCACACACTAATTGTTTCTCCCACGCCCAAGTTTCCAAACCAGATCTTTCAGGTGTTGATAATAGACACAGACATACTGCTTTTAATGGAGCAACACAAATTTATACTGGGTGAGAATGTGACCTTCAGCAAATACTTGAAGCTCTGGCTTGTTACTTAGCAAGATACATCATCTTACCAGCATTATAATAAATTTCAGAAACTATTTCAAAATAGTCACCAAAAAAAAGCATTCTCTTAGCAATATGTAGCTGTTATAATCTAGATTTTTGCCCTAGAAAACCATAGTCATTGGCACCAATGATGTGAGCCATCCCAACAAATGTAACTTCTGTGATCAGAGTTTAACATCTGCTTCTACAAACGGCCTTGCTGCCAGCGTGCAGGTAGAGAGGATTGCTCAGCCCCGAGTCAGAGCTCAGCGCATCCCTTGCAAGGCAGAGGAAGGGGGTGGTGTGCCAGAGGAGGGTCCCCAGCTGGCAGCTGCCAAACCAGGTGGGACAAGGTGCTGGCAAATGCAAGAGGAAAACGCTTGACGGATGGTTTGAAGTAAACTTCAAGACAGGCTTTGCATTTAACCCTGGTGCACGGAGGTGCCCAGGTCTGGGGTTGCCCATGTTCCTCTGCTGGTATTAAAGAGGAAACTCAGGCCTTTCAAAACCAGGGAAGAAATCCCTCTTCTCTTTTCAGACACAGGGCAGAAGTTCCCATTTTGCTCAGCTGCACAATATTGGGCTATTTAGGAGGGGGAAAAACCTAGAGTCAGCTCTCTCCTGCCCAGGAAGTTCAAAGCTGCGTCCCACTTCTCCCAAGAAACTAACCCTGCCATAACAGCAACGGCAGAGCCCCAGCCCCCGTGCCAAGCGCTGACTGGCTCTTAAATTCTGGGACTCCTGTCTTTTGCAGATCTGAATTTAAACAAGTGGTGAATTTATACCACTTCCTCCAGTTATTTAATGTGGATGTGAATTAGAGGCCTAACACTGAAAATGTGATTTGTCTATATGACAATGGCAGGGTTGGGTACCTTGGGTAGGACATTTCTTAGCAGCTACCACCAGAGCTGCTGACTGTCAAACATAATCTTTTTACTGTTATGGTACTCTCTGTCCATCAAAATATCTTTCTTTTCAGAATATCAGCCTCCTTAACAGACACATTACCTCACTCAGACACTTTTTAAACTATAAATCAGACCCAATAAAACAAGAACAAAAGTTGGCTTCTCTTCTACTCTTCCTTCAGCTCGTAAATATGCTGTTTGGAAACACAGGCTTGGAAAGCAGGCATAAATTTGGGCTTTGTGCTGTAAATAATTCTTAAATACTAGACCTGAAAGCTGTTATTTATTATTCATATTAAATGATCCTCTTTTATGCTTCCTGAGTGAATTTTAAACTTCTAGGATTTGGCTTTTTGGAGGGGATGGGTGGTGTTAGACATTCCAGGGCATGCTTCATTTTGTGCATTTAGTTCAAGCTTACTTCTACTGATTTCCATTTTTCCAAATCCTCTGGATTTCCAGAAATT